GATTCCAAACGAGGAATGGGAGGAAAGTGCAGCCATCTCCCCTTTCGTCTTTATTGATACCTGTTTCTGATTTCTTCATCATGAGTAACAGAAATTAACTCTGAAGCTTGTCTTCGAAGTCTAGGCACCCTTGGTTATTGGGTGTTTGTTTTTTAAATTATGGATTTGTGGCATCGGGTGTAAATGCTGGGAATGGAGTTTAGTATGAGTACTCCCAAAATTACTCTGTTATTTAGAAGCCTAAATGGAGATGATTTCCCCGACATGGGATCCATCCTCCACAAGGGTGGCTCATGCTTTCCAACAATGTAAGGAATAAAAAGCATGTTTTAGTTCAAAACCAAAAATGGTTTTGAAAGCATTTTGAGAGTTTAATTGACTTTTTATCTTAATTTACTGGTTTTGAAAGCCAGAGTAATTTTGTGTTCTACTTTCGAGGGTGAAATTTATTATTTGAGCCTGAAAAAAGATATCTTTGTGTCTGAGTAGATGTGCCTACCCACTTGTCTCTCTCCCTATCTTTTACTCCAGCTACAGGGGCTCCAAAGCCCTCTTCTCGACTCCCCAGGCAACAGGCGCACATGTGGTTCCCGTACATACATGAAGTCAAACACCCACACACAAACAATTAAAATAAACCTTAAAACTTTTAAATAATGCTGGGCGGTGATGGCGCGCACCTTTAATTTCAGCACTCAGGAGGCAAGTGGATCTCTGTGAGGTCCGGGACAGCCAGGACTACACAGAGAAACCCTGTCTCAAAAAAAAAAAAAAAAAAAAAAAAAAAAAAAAAGCAAACAAACTTTTAAATAAAAACGGGAGACTCCAGGGTGGTTCCTGTAGAATGTGAACTGAGACTTCGGCTTTTCCACTTACCTGCTGCTTGTACTGGTCCACTTACCCCCAAGTCCCATCTTGATTCTGTAAAGCTGGGCATGTTAATAACTACCTTCTAAAATAATAGGAGAGTAAAAGAAAATGTTTTAAAGGTGCCATGTAGGGTTGGGGGTGTGTCTTAGCTGGTGTCTTAGTTACTGCTCTATTGCTGTGATGAGATACCACAACCATGACCATGGCAACTCTTATAAAGGAAAACATTTCATTGAGGTGGTAGCTTATAGTTTCAGAGGTTCAGTCCATTATCATCATGGTGAGACATGACGGCAGGCAGGCAGATATAGTGCTGGAGAAGTAGCTGAGAGTCCTACATCTTGCAGGCAATAGGAAGTCAACTGAGACACTGGCTGGTCTTCTGAGCATAGGAAACTTCAAAGCCTGCTCCCACAGTGACACACTTCCTCTAACAAGGCCATATCCACTCCAACAAAGCCACACCTCCTAATAGTGCCACTCCCCCTGAGATTATGAGGGCCAATTCCATTCAGATTACTACAGCTGGTAAAGGGCTTGACTGACATTTAGAAAGTTTTGAGTTCAGGCTCCAGCACTGTTTAAACTCGGAACAGCATTGCCTGCCTGTGAACCCAGCACACAGAAAGCTAAGGCAGGAAGATTATTGTGAGTCCAAGGGTCAACCTGGACTACATATGAGCTTGCATTCCAACAAATAACAACAAAAAGCTGATGGAAGGCACACCAATTCCAAAGACAAAAATATGACGAAAGTCACCATATAAATGCAAGTGGTTTGTTTGTTTGTTTGTTTTGTTTTTGTTTCTGTTTGGTTAGTTTTTAGTTTCTTGAAACAGGGTTTCTCTGTGTAGCCCTGGCTGTCCTGGAACTCACTTTGTAGACCAGGCTAGCTTCTAACTCACAGAGATCTGCCTGCCTCTGAAAGTGCTGGGATTAAAGGTATGTGCCACCACACCCTGCCCTTGTTTTGTTTTTTAACATAATTTTCCCCAGAAAAAAATTATAGTTTGAGGGAGATTAGAAATGTAGCTTATTTGCTTAACTAACAATGAAGCCCTGGGTTTGATTCCCAGCACTGCACAAGCCAGACATGGCGGTGAACACCTTTTAATGCCTTCTAGCACTTGGTAGATAGAAGCAGGAAGATCAGAGGTTCCAGGCCATCTATCTTTCTCCACTGAGCAAATCTGAGGGTAGCTTAGCTACATGATCAAAAAAAAAAAAAAACCTACTGTATAAAAAAAAATCATTTGGATGATTTAAAACATGCATTTTCCTCTTTATCTGTCTATCACATTCTAACTGAACAGAATGTTATTTCATTTGGGAAATATTTATGAAAAGTGACATATGGGAACATTCCTTTTTAAACCATAAGGACAGTACATTGTACAGAGAGGTTCTGTCTGCTCATAAACAAAAACTTCCAATGCATTTTAGTACCAACTGCCAACTTCACCTAGGTGACTCCTTTCAGAACCATGTCTGGCTGTGGTGTGACAAAACTTTTCCTGGGAAGACACAACACACACATCTGCTCACCCCAAACAGGGAACCCATGACAGCACAAAGTACAGATACTACCAGAGTCCAACCTGGTGAGCCAATGAGTTTTATTGGGGTTACTGACAGGAGCAGAAATAATTCAAAGACAGTTACATCACCAAAGCCCACCCCACCACTGGTGACAACTCACAAAGCTGGGAACGTGGAGCTCACTGCACAATCAGCAGGCAGCTCAACAGGTTGGAGAGCATCCTTTCCAGGTGCCTCAGTTAGTCTAAACCTCTTCCAGGCAGCTCAGCTGATGTTTGCTTCTTCCAGGCAGCTGCTGCACTCTCAGTCTCCTCTGCAGTTCTATTGGGCTCGTGTCAGAGGGACTCTCAGCTTTTAATGCTTATTCCAGCAGGGAGGGGCCTAGTGAATCTGGTCGGTTTCAGGGACTTCCTGAAGCTCCTTTGTTTATCTTCCTGCTTAAGGAGCTTCCCTGAAGATTGGAATGCTTCAATCTTGGAGGAAACTGTTATAAAGCACTCTACCCCTTCCTCCCTCTCTTACATTCTTCCTGCCACTTCTTCCCCAATGATCCCCAAGTCTTGGAGGGGGTGACTACAGATGCCCATCTATGGCTAAGAGACAGTTGATTGTTCAGGAGCTTCACCAATGGTTCTGAGTTGAGGTGGACAATAGTGATCTATGGCCTATGAGTGTGAACACAAACATTTAGAAGGCAGTTTGACAGGCACATCACACCCATGTAGTAAAAAACGATAAAAGTTGCTTCCTACTGGGACCTATGACCTCCCTAGCCTCGGGGTTTTGTCCTGGCTTACAGTAACACACATGAACTCCCCCGTCTTGTGGAGGAGTCCTTAAATCCAGTCAGAAGGCTGTTGGTCCTACCCAGGACAGCTGAGCCAACTAGTGTACAAACAAGCAGATCTTGTGTAGCATGTTGGTATTTCAGCATGCAGGGTCCATAGTCAAGCAGGGATGTTGGTGACAGTTCTCCATCAGCAGCCTGCATGGCCTTTTCTGGCCCCACCATCATAGAGAGGTCCCATTAGTGGCCAAGATGTTATCCTGTGGTCACGCTTGTACTTCCCCCATTGGCAGTCATGTTTGGGCTTTTCTTGGCTTGATGGCTTACTTGTTGGTCAGTAATGGGGATGAGACATACTCTGGACAGCAGCCCTGCACTGAACTGTACCCCAGTCTTCCTCTTTAAGGATGCTTTACAGAGCTTCACTATGACCTAAGGTGGATATCAGGAGATGGAGTTCTAGCTCTACCTGAAAGCAAAACTGGCCACTCTAGCCAGTTCTCCCAGCAACCCTCTCAATCCCCTCAATCCCCTCACATCTTATCAAAATAAATACCTGTCTGCCACGACAGTCTGGATAGTCTACAGCTGCACTTCCCCAGACTGCCTACAGAGAAGGCAGGGCATGGGACATGGTTCCAACCAATGGGAAGGTAAGGAGAGACACACCATAGGCTTCTAATCTAGGACAAGACCTGGTCCCCAGTACTGTTAATCTGCCTCCTTTTGTCCACAGGTATGTGAAGTTATGACATTGGGATATAGACTTCCTGCTTTTAAGGAGCTTCCCTTTCGGGATGGAATGTTTCAATTTTAGAGGAAACTGCGGCACAACACTGGCTCAGCATTCATCCTGCACCATACCGAGACATGTGCGCATGCCATTGTGGCTCTCACTCCTCTTGTCTCCCTAACAAACACCACTTAGAAGCACCTTGACATTAAGGATTCCACCCAGTTCTGCTGAACTGACCAAATGACACATATAATGAACAATTGCCCCTAGACCACACCAGCAGTCAAGAGTGGAGCCAGGCTAGAACTGAAGCCTTCTTGTTGCAAGATCAGTCCTAATCGGACACCTCCTGGATTGGCAGAGGGCAGGGAGGACAAATATATTGTGACATCTTATTGTCCAGCCCTCTCCTGGTACTCATTCACGTGCCCCTGGTGTGTCAAAGTCCCAGCACCAAGCTGGAACTCGGAACAAGCCTGTCTGATGCTGGCTAGGACTCTGGGTAGACTTTAAAAATGTGTTTGCTCTTGAACAAATTGGCTTGGGTTCAAAACGTAAGTCCATGCTAATCAATGATCCGTTTTATAACTCACCTCAAGGAAGCCTAATGCTTATTTGAATGTGTACAGGAGTATTAATGTCAGCCCCCCATGCACTCCCAGCACCAAGAGGAGATACATACTCTTGGATCACACCAGGCCAATACAGAGCTGGAAGATGGGCTTAGTTTCTTCACCAAGTGCCTGGTCTGACTTTAATTAGCATACAAAAAATTCGGGGCACAGAGTGGTTTCATGGTTCCTGGGAAAGTATTGTCTTTGTTTCTTTGGGTGAAAAGAAATAGCTGGAACTAATCAGACTGCTCCTAAGATCAATGATGGGAAAGTTTGACAGGAGAAGTGCCCTCTTGACGATATTCATCTGTGTGCCATCCACACCAAGAGAACCACCACTGTGCCCAAAGTTGTCAGTTGGTTCACCAGGAATGAAGGGAGAGGACCCTTATGTGAAGGCAGTTTTCATGGGATTTGGTAGTAAGTTCTACAAAAAATTCTTTTAATTTGTGGCTTTAGGGGTAAGAAATTTCTTTATTAACAGGATGTGTTTGAATTTAAGCCAGTCTAACTTACACTCAGTATGAATGCTGAAAAGCAACTGCCCACAGACCTCAGTGATGTCACTGGCTCAGGAGCAACAAGCTGCTCTATGCAGAGGGATGAGGAATAGTTCTTGCTTCTCCAGTTCATGGCTGTATATGTTAATATTGGGTATACATGAAGGTACCAGAATTAATAAACAATGTGCAGGATCCTATTGCAACAAAACTGGTTATTGCTTGAGGAACAAAAGCAAAAATGAGAATCAATATAACACTGTTAAAATTGAAACTACAAAGGCAGAAAATGGAATGTAAAGTACAATTTCATATACATCAGAAAATCATTCTGTACATTCATTAGAACCTCATTTCTAGTATCTGACACTGTCAGCTGGTTCAAAGCCACACATAAATCATTGAGGCACAAGTTAGTAATGCTTCCAGGAGAGGATTTGGATCTGAGTTAACTATATCTCTGAGTCTGGCATATAAACATGAAAAGGGAACTATAGAAATGTATTTTTAGGAAAGAAGCAAGCACTCTGCTGCGTTTGAAGTATGTGGCCTTGGTGAGTGTTGTGTTCTGACATTAGCAAGCCAGATGCACATGACCTTGTTATTTCTCTAGCAAATCACCCTCCATCTCCTGTCCTCTTCCAGGTTAGCCGCAGGGATCATGGAATAGAGGATTGGCTTGATCTCATGGGTACCACCTACTCTGGGAATGTTGTTACACAAGGAAACTTTGACTATGATAACTTCGTGTGTGTGTGTGTGTGTGTGTGATCAGGTATGGAAAGGGCACTGTAATCCTTTCAGGAAGGCTTGTACTCTTTTTCTGGTTGCCATTCAATATCTGACCCTTGGGTTGACAAGAACACTAGCCCATTGCTTTCTCTGAGAAATGGATATGGATCATCTCGTGGGAAGATTCCCCAAGTTCTTTAAATAATTTATGTAAAAATATAAAAAATTATAATTCCTTAAAGCTATAATAATTATAAGAAACACATTTCTCTCTCATAATCTAGAGTTGGACATGATCTTTGGGGCCTAAAGATAAAATATATTTATTATCTAACAAGTGAATTGCAGAAAAACCTAATCATAGTTCTTCTCCAGATTCACTAGATGCATAATTTACATTGCAACAAGTTTGCTGGCTAGGGCACTGATTAAACTCAGTGCTTTATGAAACAGTTCATTCAATATTTCTTTGGGAATGCAAATTGAAGCTTAGAAAATAGCAGGCATACTTTGGAAATTCAATAATGTTGGCATTCTAGGAGATGATTAAGAAAATTAAAAAACTATAACCCCAAATGTTTTACATGATCTTACTGCTTTTCCCCACAAACTGAATTATTACAAAGTGAATTTTTTTTAAATAGTCAGTTGATTGCAAATGTTAGGGTATTACTGCAAGGGGAATATAACATTTAGCAAACAGGCAACACCAGTTCAAGAAAATGAGTCTTCAGCCCTGTAGAGACACAAGGCCTCACTGTGTCTCTACAACCAGCTTTTGGCTCTCAACCTTAGGGAAATCCTGCCCCGAATACTAATCAAATGGAAATAACCATAAGCTAGTACCCTCATACAATTCCTTTCTTTAAATTCATAACAAGGGAACCCATCCTTCTAAGAGGTTTTAGGAAGGTTAGAACTGCTCTTGGAATTTAGTCTAATTGTCATTTTTACTGAACTCTACTTTGACACAAAGCAGTGACTGTGTGGTGTGGTTGTTTCGAATGGCTAAAGATGTGTCATTACTGACGGCTTCTCTGGGTGGTGACGACCTGGGTGCTGCTGATGTGAACTTCTCCACACAGCATGATGAAGTCTGCGTTGAGTGACAGCATTGCACTTCTCCTGTTTCTTCAAGAAACGCAATACCAAGAACCATTACCTAGACATAAATTTTGGTTGTTTTTGTAAATTCTGAGTCTGGGATTTCATAGTGATTTAGGTGGTTCTTAGAGAATAAAACTGAGCATTGTGTAGAACAAAGCCTAACGCGCTTGGTTTCCTGCTCACATTTATTGGGGCGAAAGAGATTAAAACAATTTTCTTCCCAAAGAATTGAAAAAATATATATACTCCAACAGCAATTTAAGTAACCACATGACAAAACTTCCTGGATCATGAACCAACAACATGAGATGTGATAGCCTGTAGATATCAATTGAGATAGCTTTACACAATGTCATTCATCTAAGGCATTTCTGAACTGGTTCTCACAGCCACACATGTGTACACAGTTTCACATACTAAAAGGCATCTACTCAGGGACAGAGAGATGTGTTCTGCAGGAGCTCTGGGCACAGGAGGAGAACGCAACATATACTTGGTTACTGAGTAATTTTCAAGAGGAAATTTGGCTTCCAAGAAACAGTTTTGTACATCCAAAAAAATCAATGAGAATTTTTCCACTTGAATAAAGAGAATTATTTTGTGATGCAAACGACAAGAAAATTCACACACAATTATTTGCTTTCCCAAGGCCACTTTCAAAGTACAGATTTCAAATCCAGAGCAAATACCCATGGCATGAACAAACAGGATGGCGAAGACTCTGACACCTGCTTCCGCGCGGCCTCCCTCTTCTCTAATGTACTTCAACAGGGGAACCCCCAGAGGTGGCGGGGTCTGGATGACACACCATTGTGTCCGGCAAGATTTCTGGAAAGTGCAGACCTAGTGGGCTTCTAAATCTATTTCAAATGGACTAGAAAACTTTTGCCACAGCCAAACACTTTTTGTAAGAATCTTCCAAAATGAGGTGGAAGCTGAGGGCAAAGGAAGTTAACTCTCCAGAGGCCAACCACTCAAAGTGAAAAACCAGCCTCCCCGATTACAGTTACCACCTTGTTTCTTTGGAAACAAAAGAGTTAGGCCGGCCTTGTGCCCAGGGATGAGTCACAGATACACACACTTGGGTTCTAGCTACCAAATTCTTGAGTAGACTCAGACACACTCTCACACACGTTTTGTCACATAAGGAAGAAGACACCATATTCAGGCACTTGGCACCAGTGAAAAAAATATCCAGCGAGGTAAAACCAGTTTGACAAACAACCGCCCTCCCAGCCAAAAAAAATAAAACAAAAATAAAATCAAAACTAGTGCTTTTATAAAAAAATCTCTGGAAGGCAATTTCCCTCAATTTTGCCAGGGAAATAGCACAGATATTCTTTTCCACCTTCCCTCCAAATCCACCAGCTCTTATTTCTGAGATAACAGCATTTCAGGTTACATGAAATCTGCCCCAGTTAGAACAGAGCAAGCTCGGAGAATTTGCTAATGGTGGCTAGTGTTGTCGCTGCTGACATTCTTGCTACAAAAATCCAATTTCAGGCAGTTGAGTTCCTGTAATCCCCTGAGCTATAACAAAAGCCCGTCACCTCAGGGGAGGCAGCTGACTATGTCTGTGCAAGCTAACCACTCAGAGAGATGTACATTTATGTTTGGACTAATATGAAATATCCTTTCAGAAGAGAGGGGTTTTTTGTTGTTGTTGTTGTTGTTGTTGTTTGTTCTTTCTGAAGGGCTTAGACATTCAATGGAAAACAGTCAATTTATATGAAGACATATAATAATAAATGATTAAAATGATTTGGGCTGCTTGCCATTCAGAAGTTTTCCCGAGTTCTATGTTTTACACAAACTGGTGAATAAAAAAGTAGACAGCCAATGAATGTACTATACATATATTAGATATTAATACATGTGTGTGAATTAAAGGTCCTTGAATATATACATCCCCACTTAGGATACATTCCACTGCAGAGGCAAGGCATCAATCTTTGATAATAGATCCAGGATAGCAGCAGTTTAACAATCTAGTAACCACGTTACCGTGGAAAAAGGAATAGGCCCTGAATAATCTCCCTGCCTTCAGAAGTCTCCGTTAACACGGAACGCACACTGGTCTTAAGAAGCACCGGGCTGCATTGCTAATGGCAACTGTATAATCCTCTCCCTGGAGAAAACATGTTCGTCTTTTCAAAATCTACTTGTGACTGATGGTATGATGGTCAGGATGAGTCACACTGAGATGACACAGATCCAAACTACTGAAGACACATGACATACTTCCACTTGATTTCTTCTTGTCGTTTTATCAGTTTCTTGAGGACACAGAAAGCACTCAGATTGTCTGAACAGCTCCCAGGAGAACGATACTAAATTAGGCTGAGCAAAGAGCTGCTCTAAATCGTGTCTGAAAGTATGTAAATAACCTGATTATCACTTTACAGACAACATAAAATTGCACTAGGCATTGTTTTAAAAGATTTGTTTTTAAGTCTACCCTCCTGGGTAAGTTATGAACTTAACAGTAAAAATTCACATGTGTACTAAGCAAAAAAAAAAAAAAACCGTTTATGCAGACAGATAAATCATTTAGTCATAGAAAGGAACAAGGTATTTTAGCTAATCTTACTTTGTGTCATCTGTTGGACACCTCCATGCATGCTTAGGGGAGTCACATGGATTCTATATGGATGGATGGATCAATAGCTCGATGATTCGAAGGATGGACTATAATGTGTACTGCTGATGTGCACTTTCTGGTCCAACTCCTAATCTGTTGGGAATATGACCACAGAGCCCAAGAAAGGACCCTGCTGCCTACAACAAAGGCTTTGAAGCTTCCCCACTCACAGCCCATATAAAACACTTTTATAGGCCACAGCTGCAGGCTGTGAGCGGTGAACTGTTACCTAAGAAGAATAGTATCTGCCAAACAACAGACACTAAATTAGGCCATGTTGTTGTACATGTTACAACCTTTTCCTGGGAAGGGACAACTCCCTCTGAAGAGCAGTTTCTCCTGCCTGAAGATGAGATCACACAGGGAGAGAGCGATTATGTTTCTGCCAAGTCACTGTGGGAACACTGAAGATGTGCTCACAGTAGCCGGCACAGGCATGCCAGTCAGGGCATCGACTCCTGAGATAAGTGGCCAGTTCTATTGCGCACAGAATTAATTATTATGCAGTCTTCTCCTTCCCCTCTGACTCTGGGTTTCTGCCATGTGTCCCGTGGCAGTGGAATCAACACAGACTTCTGCTCAGTTTGCAAAGCCGCCAAGCACGGCAATGCCATTAGTACACTGAATGTTCACCCAGGCTCATTAGGTTTGAATGGAAGATGAGAAGCCTGGTGGGATCCTTTGGATGGCAAGATGGCGATGTGTTAAGAGTCTCCCGGGCAACAGCAAAGCTCCTAGAGTGCTCCACAGACACAGCCTGGGTTGCGAGCTGCTTCTCGATACACAGGAACACTCGCACCCAGGACTTGGCCTTTTCCCACACTGAATGCTATCAGGCAAGTTCAGAGTCTGGACACAGAGGCACTTCCAAAGTTTGGCAAGGAGAAGGAGGCAAGGTCGCTAAGTGGGGCTTTATCGCTGCACTGTCTCGTGAAACCCAGATGCCTGTGCAGGTAACTTTAAGTTGTGGATGGATCGTGCTTTTTCTTCTTGCCTCGGCAGGACTTGCAGACACAGCAGATTATACATGGAGAGGCCAGGAGGAGGAGGGGTGAAGTCACCAGGGCAATGACTCCTAATCCCACAAGTATCCCTACCACCTGCAAATGGAAGAAAAAACCCTAGTTTAGCAGTTACATCATCTTAGATGTATACATGTCCCCAAGTGTAACAGCCTTTGTGGTGTGAATGCTTGTGTCCCCCTTCCAAACCCCTAGGTTGAAACCCTACTACTCAGTGTGATGGCATTTGGAGAGGGGAGCCCTAGCTGAGACTCTGGAGCCTTAGTGATACTAAGGGAGCTCAGGAGCTTGCCTCCATTCTCAGATTTCTACCATAGGCGAGCACAGCAAGAAAACTATCATCTGTGAGCCAGGAAGAGCACAGTGAGTGTAATGCCTCATTGCCAATGTGTCTAGATTTAGCGTCATCCAAGAGACACACCTCTGGATGTGTTTATGTGGACATTTCCAGACAGGATCAACTGAGAAGGGAATATGTGTGCTGCCATCCCATGGGCTGGGCATCGGATTGAATAACAAAAAGTAAAAAAGAAGAAAGCCTGATGAATGTTAATATCCCCCTCCCCCTGGTCCCTGTTCATAGCATGCTGAGATATGAGGAGTCCCAGCCTCAAGTTCTTACCCCTGTGAACTCTGCCATGTCCTCCCCACCATGATGGACTGTCTCCCTTCAAACCATGAGCTTAACCCAACTCTCGCTCCTTCAAGTCCTGAGACAAGCAGCTAACATCCTCAGCAGAACCTGCCCATGTTGATACCTGAACCTCAGACTTCCAGCATCCAGAACCAGGAAGAGGCAATCTTTGCTGTTCCAGTCACCTAGTCTATAATAATCTACTAGATGAATGACTAGGATACCGTCTTGGGCACATTTAGCGACGTTCTCAACCGGACACAAACTACAAAGCTACATGGGACTAAATCGAGGGTGAGAACCAACAGAAGCCTAACTCAAGCTTAACTGTTAACTCCCAACCCTGAACCGTGGGTGTTGGCCTGTTCTCTATCAGGGCTTCCCCAACAGTCTCATAGGAACATTATGATGATTGTTAGGATATGAACATTGGTTTCCTCAAAGGGAGCATAGCCTTTGATAAATACAAAACAGTATTAAAAAACAAACCACAGCTCCCTTTGAACCTGCCACATAAATACACAATGGCATGTACAGAGGGAACTGAAGCCCAGAAGGAGCCCACGGTATTGCAGAACTCTCCTCTGATGGCTGATGGGCTCTAACTGCTTGCAGGAAACTCCTCCCATGTTTTGCAAGAGCAAAGAACATGGGTATTCACTTGGCTGGTCACTCTACTGCTCAGCCCTCTGGTGCCTCTGTCCCTCAATAATTGTGTTCTTGAATTAACTTCAGGCAGCTGCTCCATTGTTCTCTTTCTCCTTGTACCAGAACCTCCCAAGAGGGCATGGGAAAGCAAGGAAGCAACCCTAAGTCCAAGGCATCTCATGTTTCCTTAAGGAGGAGGGTACCTGTGTTCGGTTCCACATTACCGATGCTCTCGAGTGGCCAAGCTTATTCCTGCATGGTCCTTTGTCATAATGCCTAAGGAATATGTCATTCTGAAAAACAAAGAGAAGAGTTTCAGTAAGCACACGACGTGGAGTTGAGAGGTGGATATAAAGTGCAGGGGTCACCTAACCTATGAATTACTTCCCAAGAACCCCACCCCCATCTTCAGCATGGCTTATAGTTCTGCAAATCACCAAGGAAATAAATCATAATGAACTCTTGGTTGAGGCAACAGAAAAAGGAATGACCTGATCAACCATCTCAGACAGGTAACCAACAGCGAGCTCTAGCAGAGGTGTACACCACGGAATGTGAGAACCAAAGGTCAGGAGCATACCTGGTGTGAGAAATGCCATCAGCTGAGGGAATGATAGGGAAGCGGAAGCCAGTCACGAGACACTAAGAAAGTAATGAAGCAAATGAGGAAGCAGGGAAACAGGGCCTTGAATGAGGGGAAAGCTATGGAACAGAAAGAAGACAGTGGCTTTGCCAAGAGAAATAACTCAAAGATGGATCTGGGAGGGTGGGTAAAGACTACAGTTTGGACATGCTGAACTTGACATCCAAGCAATACATCCAAAGGCAGCTCATTACTTATACCTGGTCTTTGAAGGAGAGACTTGGATATTAGAGGCACTTCCAAAGTTATACATAAAATGAAAAAAAAGAATCACAGAACTCAATGAGATTATATAGAGGAGAAGTGGACTGAGAAGTACATTTGTTCAGAGACGGCACTCAGGAATAGGTGAGGGGTCTGGAAGGGAAACTGAGGTACAGCTAGGGAAGTGAGGTCAGAAGCGAGGGCAAGTGGCCAAGATGCCAAATGCAGCCGAGAACCTGGGAAAGCTAAGGATGTCGGGTTTTCCCAGGAAGAAATCATGCAAAACCTTGGAAAGAGTACGCTCAGGGTATGGCCACGTGGCTACTTGCATGGCTTGTGCTGACTGGAGGAGGGCGATGTCAGCAGCAAGAGCTGGCTGGGCTCTCTAGAAGCTTGGCTTCTGAATAGAGAGAAAAGACAGCCAGCTCAAGGAGACTGGCTCATCTCTAAATGGACACAGCGGACAGAATAGAATGGTACAGGAGGAGAATAGGAGCTGAGGTCACATGGAAGAGAAAAGAGGACTCAAGGAGACAGGTCTGGGAGGCTCCATCTCAGCCTCTGACGTGCCAGGGATGGAGACGAAGGCGGGAGCAAACGCAATGCCCAGCACACACAGTCTCAGGCTTGGGCTTTAGAAAATCCTCCTTTGTCCCAGGTTCTCAATTTTCCCACAGACACATCAACACTGTGTGGCACGGAATACTGCCCTGCAGAAAAGCATCTTCATCACAAGCCAATGCCCTCATCTAAATCAGAGAAAGCAAGATCCCAAGACACAGTGACGGAAAAGCATGCTTTAGCATCTGAAGTCCATGTGTTCAGACATTTAACATCTGTCCCGTTTCATCTCGGGGGCCCACACAACACAAGTGTCTGAACAGAGTGTTCTCCACAACGCCATCCCCCAGACTTACTCCAGCCAAAGGATGGAGATCTGGTGCACACATGGAGTCCCTTACATTCTTGTCTCCTAAAGAGAACTGCCTGGACTCAGCTGCCTTGTGGAGAGAAACCCAGATTATGGAGAAAACCCTAGGATCTCTTTTTAATGTGTAAATTGTGTAACACCACACACACTTGCCATCTAAAAGACGATGTGCAGCAAAGTTATTCAGAGTGGAAACCATGTGTAAGCTGTTTACAGTCTTTCATCTACAACATCCACCTTCAACTCTTCAATCTAATGCACTTCCTTAAGAAAGACCAAGCTAACAGAGACGCTTCCTCACGGTGTCCTCAACAGCTTACCTAGTTTTCAGTTGAAGTGCCAGCAGGCATCCATTAATGACACCTTCTTTCCTGGCACTGCTTTGCAGACTATAGCACCGAACAAACTGTTAGTTGGATGAGACCCAACTGTACAGCAAAACCAAGAACTGACAAAAAGACGTCTGTGTAGTGTGTACTGTTTCATGTCACTTGCTACTAGTCATCAGAGGAGGGAGTCCCAACTGAGAAAAGGCCTCCATAAGATCCAGCTATAGGCAAGCCTGTGGGGTATTTTCTTAATTAGTGATTGATGTGGGAAAGCCCAGCCCCCTGTGGGTGGTTCCTCTCTTGGGATGGTGGTCCTGGGTTCTGTATGAAAGCAGGCGGAACAAGCCATGAGGAACAAATCAGTAAGCAGCACTCCTCCACGGCTTCTGCATCAGCTCTTACCTCCAGGTCCCTGCCCTGCTTGAGTTCCTGTCCTGACTTCCTTTGATAATGAACTGTGATGTGAAAGTGTAAGGCAAATAAACCTTTTCCTCCCTAAGTTTCTGTGGTCATAGTGTTTCATTACAGCAATAGCAACCTTAAGACATGCATGACTGAGGTCGGACACCAACATGGACATACATTATAACTTCAAATCGCCCTGACAGGAGTAGCCTAAACAGTTTGCACCACCTCAAACTTTAAAAGATTGGGATTGAAGTCCGCCCTTCTCAGCCACCCTTCCCACAGCTGAGGTCATTGCACCTTGGCACACGACTGAATGAAAATGCTAGCTGACTTTGAGAAGACACGCTATTGGGTAGTGAGGGAGAACAATGATCAGACAAGTCCCAGAATCTAGTGTCAAGGCAGCAGTACTCCATGTCACACCAACACAAAAGACACTGGGGCAGGAGACAGTGGTTTTTCTGATTGCAGTACACAGAATGCCCTCAAAGATGCTCACGGCTGAGTCTCCGTGACTTGTCTGCATGTATAACTGTGTGAAGGACTGTGACCCGGGGGAGATTATCCTTTGTGATACAAATGTGTCCAGTCTCATTTCATGGGTCTTTATAGGGAGGAAATCCTTTCTGGCTGTGGTCAGTGGCAATGAGAACCATGAAAGGGTCAGAGAGACGGGATGTTATTGCCTTTGGAGACAGGGAAATGGGATCACAAGTCTAGCAATGCAAGCAACCCTATCTCTGGAAGATAGAAAGGCAAAGAACTGGATTCTCATCTAGAGACTCCAGACAGCAGTGTAGCTTTGTCAATATCCTAATTCCAGTGAGATACACGTTACACTTGAGTGTACAGACGTGGAAAATAATTCTGTGCTGTTTTAAGGCACAAAGTTTGTGATCACTTGTTACAACAGCAATATAAAACAAACACACTCACAGGTATTTACATGATAGAGGTAATTTCCTCCAAGGCACAAAACAAAAGAATGTCTTGAAAGCTGAAGCAGCACACGTCGGGCAACAGGAAGAGGTTTCACAATGTCCAAAAGGGCAATGGGGCTGGGACTCAGGGGGGACAGTGCTCGCCTGGCATGCACAATGTCTGGGTCCAGTGCCCGGCACCATGGAACAGATGAAGCTGAAGGGAAAGAGGAAGTGAGTGGGAAAAGGAAGGAGGAGGGAAGAAGGAAGACGGGAAGTAGAGGACAGATGTAAGGTATCAGGCTTAGGAAACCTCGCTAAGAAAACCCAATTCCTTTTGCACTATAGTGAGAGAGAGGGAAGGACCGCAGGGCCCCGACCGCGGCACAGACCCAGCACAGGGCAAAGGCTGGGCCTCTTCCAAGGAGAACTTACGTCCAGGTTCTGCAAGCAGTACCAACAGAAGGTGTGTTTGCAGTTCTTGCACATCATCTGAGCGCAGCCCTCGTTGCGCTCGATGTAAATCCGGCAAACCGGGCACTGCTTAATGGGGGCGTCTGCATCCGTCCCAAAGAGGGCCCTAGAACAAAACCGACAAGCCATGTTCAGTCAGCCGTCTGAAGTGGATGGTCAATAAGTCCTGCTTGCTGTGTTTAACTCGCTTCCAAAGAGACGGGAGGGAAGAAAAATGGGAGGCATGGATTATTAGTTGTTCAGATAGCTCAATAAGAAAAAAATTATTTATTTTTGCTCCTAATGAATTATATAATTACACTTTCCACAGCTGGTTGGCTTTATTGCTTTGCCAAATTAATACTTCCTTCCTAGATCACACATTTTCTGAATAAGAAGTATGTGGAGGGAGTCAGACTGTGAGAACCTAACTCGGGATCCAAACGGGATCAGTCTATGTAACGACCTCCTCATTAAATAAGGGGAGCGAGGGGTTCAGCCAGCGGAACTCAACGAGATGCCGACTGTCACCAAAAAGACCTCCTCTGAGCTGATGAATAGGCCAGTGTGTGACCTAAGCAGAAAGGGACTCAGGACTAAGCGGTTCAGGTTGTGTTAGGAGGGAGTCAGAACACTCCATTACACTCCACTGACTGGGTATCAAAATCACCACCCAGCACACAGGGACATCACAGTTTACAAAAGGTTGTCCAACCTCTGGTCAGATGTGGTGCTGGAAATAACCTAATATAGTAGAGACAGTATTTCCATTTTAATATTCTTCTTTGGGCTGTTGAGATAGCTCAGCAGGGAAAGGTACTGATGACCTGAGTTCAATCCCCTGGATCCACGTGGTAAAGGAAAAAACAAAAACAACAACAAAAAAACTCTCACAACACGTCCTTTGACCTCCACACATGACAACACAGGTCCACACATGTGTACTACACACACACACACACACACACACACACACACACACACACGAGTTAATGTAATAAAAACTTTAATGCCCCCTTTTCCCAACAGGGATACAGACTCAAAAGAGGCTTAGTGCCTTATATGAGGCCGCCCGGATGACATGAACAGTGTCAGAACTCAAATCATCCCTCTCCTCTGAGCCCTTTAAACTTACCTGGGGGGCTAACTACTATGAAAGCATTGCTTTAAATCTGATGGGGATGGCACACAACCGCGTGTGTGTCAGAGTTCTCTTCCCTCTGTGCTTGGTCTGATATCGAAGCACAGCACCACAGCCAGGCAGCGTGACTGTTCCTGAAGACTGGTTCTGCAGTCTGAGGGCACTGGGTGAGAAAGCCAACTGGCTGGGAACACTGGTGTTTTGTTCTTGCTGGAGCAGAACAGCCATAGCCTCAAGCGAAGCATGGGATCTAACACAAAGGTCTCTCACTCTGCTCCAGGCTGCTGCCATAAAAACCCTCCATACAAAACGGCACCCTTTGGTTGAATTACTTCTCGACATAAAATCTCAGGCCTGGCACCACCTTTTCATAACATAAAGTGTTAGGAAGGAATCTCTCTTCCCGTATCTTTTCAGCACTTAGGAAGACAGTCTATCTGTCTGCACGTTCTGTAGGTTTGGCGTACCCCATGAGCTGGCCATTTAATCAGGTATGATCATATCTCTCTTATTTTGTAAACAGGAAGAATGGGCTACAGCGGTGAAGGGTAAACATGGTTTTTTAGGGAATAGCTATGTACAAGCCCTGACTTTCTACTGAAAACTAGAGGGATGAGTCTCTCTACCCAAAGGGAGTGAACGCAAACAAACTTAACATATCTGGAAGGTCCCCTAGGATAAAAAGCTAGAATCCCCTTTAGACATACTGTTCTGGTTAGTGTCTGTTACCACCTTACTAATTCTTCTCAGGGTATTTCTACAGTGAATATCTAACTCCTTCCCAAAGCCGCTGATGCAGAGTTTGAAAAGAACACTAGAAATAATCCCAAAGACACTTCACCCCTTACCCATGCTCTGGCACAATTGGCTGCTCTCTACAGGAAGCCTCCCCATGCCAGGGATCCTTGCAACATGAGCAGAATTTCAGGTGGCAAGAAGGGCATTCCACCATCACAGGCTTCCCTGGGTCTCCTGCTGCAATATGGCACACTGTCTGGCAGTCTGCAACAGGACACCATGTTCGGAGGGGGTCCATGTGAACCTCTGAAACATAAAGAAGAAAACTGTGATGTATGGTGATATTATAATTGTACTGAGATGTGATTTTATTTGCATGTTAATAAAGTTGCCTGGGGGTCAGAGCTAACAGCAAGCCATAGCAGAAACTGGGCAGTGGTGGTGCATGCCTTTAATCCCAGCACTTGGGAGGCAGAGCTAGGTGGATCTCTGTGTGTTCAAGGATACAGCCAGCATGGAGACACATGCCTTTAATCTCAATACAAACCATAGAAGACCTGGAGGTCTGTACAGACAGGCAGTGACAAGGAGGTCATGTGGTTGGGTTTACAACCAAAGAGAAGACAGAATAGAAAGTCTATAAAAAAGACAAATAGACAGGAAGTAGGGCTCTTGCTGAAGAGGATAACAGCAGCAGTGAAGGGTAAGGATTTTTGCTCTGACCTCTTGGGCTTTCATCTCTGCATTGGCTCTGTGTTTCTTATTTAACAAGACCATTAATCTACAGTGATGGGCTTTCTCTGATCCAAGGATTAAGCTTTCTCCCCTTCATTTATCATTTTTATAGAGCAACATGTATCACACCAGCAAGGGAGTGGCCATCTCCATGACCAACCATCTTCATAATGGATCCAAGCCCACCACCCACCATCCAGAGCTTAAGGTCATCCCTGCCACATTCTCAAGGTAGGAACTAATAGAGCAAGTCACCACTGCCTTTATTAATAGGTATGCTATGGACTTTAACCAAAGACTACAACTTGCCTTTGAGCATTCAAAATGGGCAAAAACACAAGTCTCTTCCATGATGAACTAGGTACCATCTTGGAGGAAAGGATGATGTGCAGAGCATCAAAGCAAGAGAACAAAGGTGTTCTACAGAGAAGAGTACGTGCTTTGGGCTCTAAGACACAGTTCATACAGCAGGGGACTGGAAACACAAGGATTCAAATAGTTTAGGATCAAACAGTATCCGGTGTAGCTTAGCAAGGAAATCAGATTTAAGTAGTTTGCTGTCTTACTAGTGAACAAATTGGGGACTATTTATGAAGTGCCTGTAAGCTCTTAAAACAAACAGGTACTTTCTCAGACTATAAAATTATAGCCATTCATATGACAGGGGCTAGATCCACACAACACACAGGAAAAAGGGTAAGATTGGCAGGTGGATAGCCAGCCATCTGTTGAAGTATTTGTATGTCTCTCTTGTTTTCCCATTTCTTGAGCATTAACAGATTCCATCTTTCCATGGAATACACCCTATGATGAGGCTGATAGAGGGGACCAGTAGCCTTTCTTTCTCTGAATGATGTTTTTTACAAATTTCTTACTCATGATATTTCTCTCTGGAACCTCTGAGGTTTACTCCAATCTATTATAATTACTTTAATCAGTTGTAAAAATGGGAGAAGTTATGACACGTTTCTACCAACTTATTGTTTCAGGCATCCAAAGAGGTACAATGAAAGAAGAAATGATAAATGAGGGAACAATTATAGATTCTGATCTATTGCTATAAAGTAGCTTAAAACCCAGTGTGGCTGCTGCCCATGGTCCAACACAAACACTAGGAAAGAATCTGAGCCACAGGAAACAAGGACCTGAACTTTCTACCACCATGACAGGACATGAGGACCAGGCATGCGAGCATGGGAGCAGGGCAAGGGTGGAGGCATTAAAGCTCTCTACAGGGATTTGTACAAGATGCAGCTTAGTTGAGTCTGTTGTTGTGCTAACAACCCGGTGAATTCAGACAAATGCAATTCCATGACAGCACGAGCTGGAACAATCTCAATGGGCCACCGTCATAGAGAGGTCCCATTAGTGGCCGAGATGTTATCCTGTGGTCACGCTTGTACTTCCCCCATTAGCAGTCATGTTTGGGCTTTTCTTGACTTGATGGCTTACTTGTTGGTCAGTAATGGGGATGAGACATACTCTGGGCAGCAGCCCTGCACTGAACTGTACCCCAGTCTTCCTCTTTAAGGATGCCTTACAGAGCTTCACTGTGACCTAAGGTGCATATCAGGAGATGGAGTTCTAGCTCTACCTAAAAGTAAAACTGGCCACTCTAGCCAGTTCTCCCAGCAACCCTCTCAATCCCCTCAATCCCCTCACATCTTATCAAAATAAATACCTGTCTGCCACGACAGTCTGGATAGTCTAGAGCTGCACTTCCCCAGACTGCCTACAGAGAAGGCTGGGCATGGGACATGGTTCCAACCAATGGGAAGGTAAGGAAAGACCCACCATAGGGCTTCTAATCTAGGACAAGACCTGGTCCCCAGTACTGTTAATCTGCCTTCTTTTGTCCACAGGTATGTGAAGTTATGAAACTGGGACAAGCATAAGGACAATGCTGAGGAAAAGCTAAATGGTTTAAGAAATTTGAGCTAAATCAGAGCCATGACTGCCCCCCTAAGGACTTCCTGTACATGGAGTAGGAAGATGCCTAAGCCATTTTCAGACTTTCCACTCCTTGTAGCTGAAAGCACATTAACTGATAAGGCTACTTCTAGTAACAGTGAGTAAATAATCACACCAAATAGGGCTGTTCCTCCCACAGGGCAGATTTTACTGAGAGGATTAAAGGACCATGTCTGAGATGACCTTTGAAGTTTTTCTATACCAATAGTTTTATCTGTATGCACAGCCCATGAAAATTATACAAGTAAAATAGAAACAAATTTACATATATTATTCTGTAGAAACCTTGTGCACCATAACACAAATTCATATACTGTTTTTAAAAAGTTAATACATTCTGTCAGAAATGAAGAGTTTTATATAGTTGAACAGACAAATAATATATATTCATGTAGTTGAGCATTGTTTATATTTTTTAAAAATATAGAACAAATTTATAAATTAATAATAGATGTGTTAATAATAATCAATGAAAAGGCCAGTTTACAGAATAGTATAAATGAGCAGTATTTATAAAATTATGTATATAGAGATGTATTTCAACTGCTTCCAGTAGACTCTTGAAGGTAACAGCTTTCCCCAAAATGAAAGGTCAAGGGTTAGGTGAAAAGGCACAGACCTTTATTGTCAATGTGAATTTTTAAAATTACACTTATGTATTGTGTATTGTGATTGTGTACATGCCACAGTGTGTGTGACGTCAGAGGACAACATGGTGAAGCTAGTCCTTTCCTTCTGCCATATGAGACCCAGGGATTGAACACAGCAGGTCTTCAGGCATGGTGGAAGTGTCTTTACCCACCGAGCATCTCACTGGCCCATGTGATTTTTTTTTAAGGTACAAATGCCACTTGTGTAATTTTTAAAATTGGTTTTTAAAGCTATTTTCTGAAGCCAGGCATAGTGGCTCACACTTGTAACCCCCGCACTCAGCAGGGAGGTGCCACTCAGAAGGGCAACAGCCGTTTTCCTAGTAAAGACTAGTTAGTTAGTACACCTTCCAGAACTCTGCTCTTGAGAACTATCACCCCTTACTTCCTATGACATCCTACCTAACGTATCTCCCCAACTGTTCTGAAGTAAAAGGTTGGCTGAAAGTACCTTAATAAACTGCCCCCTCAAAGTCACCAGCAAAATCCGTCTGGGTGCACACTCCCAAGTGTGCCTGGAATGTCTTCTAGCTAACGTCCCACCTTCCATGTCCCATGGCTTAGGCTCTGTCTTCTCACTCTTTTTGGCCACTAATCTCCTTTCTTCTGTGCTACTACTACTGCTCTTGACTAGCACCCCTGGGTGTTGTCCACACTCTTGACTAGCACCCCTGGGTGTTGTCCACACTCTTGACCAGCATCCCTGGATGCTGTCCATGCCCTACTCTGAGATTTCACCCACATTTTACTTATTTATGCAGTAACAAAGGCTCAATCCTCACCTTAATTTGACTTTGAGGCATTGCCCCTCATTGTTAAAAAACTGAAAATTAGGCATGTCTATTTCTCACTCTTAATTCAACAAAGACTGGTTTCAAGTACTTGTTAGGGACTTGGGCACATGAAATACAAAACTAAAGATTTCTATGCTCAGAAAACTCATAATATGAAGATGCTCACCGGGTGAAATGAAAGAGATATGTAAAACAATATGACATCTAAAAATTAAAAAAAAATAAAATTAAAAAAAACTAGCAACGCAAATGATTGAGAGTGCATCTCACAAGACAACAAAAATGAAATTATTGATAAACACTTGTGAGCCGTCCTTGGGGTGGAGAGTAGGGTACTTAATGGCTACTTATAGAAAGCCCTTTAGGCTTTCTTTCTTGTCCACAAATCCATAATAAAATTTCCTATTTTAATAAAGTCTAACATCAGAAGGCAAAACTGGTTTCTTCTAATCACAGACAAAGCAGGTAACACACACTGGGAGGAAACATGAGGAGATTAAGGCAGAAAGGGCAAAACCACTATATAAACACTGATTTGAAAAAGGAGTCCCTTAGTTAGCCAGGGTGCAGCCCGCCTGCATGGGGAGACACAGGGGGAAAGTCTCTATCACGACGTTAGAATTAAGCTACTGTACTTAAAGGAAACACCAATTGATGACAGGATACATCCTGATGGGCCCTGGCAGCTCACAAGCCAAATGCATCTCTCCCGAGATCCAAGGCGAGTGGTACCACACTGGCAGCTTGAAATTAACCGTGACAAAAGTATTCACATCTGGACATGGGTAGGCATTACCAGCTAGAGGGTCACAGAATAGAAGCTAAGCTGAAATAAGTACATCAGTACATAAAACCCACATCATTCAGCACAGAAAATCATGGAGCACTGAGCAGGAAAGTGAAGAGAAGAATTTGCATAGCATAAAAGGAAGAAAAGCCAAAACCACAACCATGATCGAGCTTTTTAGTGCATCTCGTGGCCAATGGTTTCTACTTCCCAATCATCCTTGATACAGACAGACACATACACCTGTAATAAAATCCACACATGTACACACCTTTCAGGTGGTGTTGAGTTGTAGATATTAACTTGGCATTCATTGTTTGCTGTACATCCTGCTTGGCTCTTCAAACTCAGTGAAGTACTGGGTCACCT